CGGAGATGTGGAGGACAGAATACTGGGGGATAAAAAGGGTTGTGCAGGGCATTGTATCCTGGTCAGTGCTGGCTGGTGTGTCTGACTGCTGTGCACCTTTACGGGGCGGGGGAGGTATTTGGCTGGCTGGCTGAATGAAGGGAACAGTGCTTTATGGCTGGTGGGAAGGGGAGAGGAGAGGAGGGGGGGTGAAAACTGCTGCAAAAAGGGTCAGCGTGGTCTAGGGTGACCAGATAGCAAGTGTGAAAAATCGGGACGGGGTGGGGGGTAATAGGCGCCTATATAAGAAAAAGGTCCAAATATTGGGATTGTCCCTATAAAATCAGGACCTCTGATCACCCTAGGGTGGTGGTTGACTCATCCTCTGGGAATGCAGGATTTAAAAGGGGCAGATCTGCGCCTGAAGCCTCCCATCTTACATGGACCAGGACTGAAGCAGGACCCACCTTCCCTCCCCTTTTAGATGGTAAAATACCAGATTTGGTCAACACCTACTGTGGGCATTATGCTAGCCTTCCCTTGTTTAGCGGCATTGGGAAGGAATTTTGCCCTTTGGCTTGGGTGCAGTTGAGGTTTTCTTCGCCTTCCTCACAGCAGATTCAGGTGGGCTCTGTTCATGCATGGCGGGTGGTAGACCATATGTCACAACTCATTATTTAAATGTAGGGCAGATGTCCAGTGCAGGTACTCCATAGGAAAGGTATACAGTGACCGGATAAATGGCTTGGAAAAGGACATAAAAAGAGGTGTTCATTAAAGCAATGAACGGGGGGTGGTTGGGGACTCCTATGATTGGTATGCCAGGGAGCCAACCCCCCATTCTTATAGCCCACCTTAACCCTCCTACAAGGTGGGGAGGTGGATGGTAAGGTCCCAGCAATGGATTTGCTGGAGGGGAAAAGAGGGGGAGCTGGTAAAAGCCCCCTGGGTAATTACAGCATAAACATGGGGTTACCTGCACTGTACACTTTTATCTGCCGGTTAATCCCAGACATCTAATAATAAAGTTGCCGCCTGATTAAACCCATGTCAAATGTCTCCTGTCCTTCTTTCGGCATAGCCAGACGATAAGCAGAGCAGTTAGAGATGTGCTGATTCTATGTATGCTTGGCAGTCTCTGCTGGCAAGGTTACTATGGAGCTCCTGGAAGAAAGTAAAGCTGCCCTTTCCCAGCATAGTTCCTGGGGTAGACCAACAGTGGTAAAAACACCTGTCCTCCCTCCTTAACCCCCACCTCCTCCCCTAAGAGTCAATCCCACACCTGAGGCTATAGCTGGTTTCTCTGGTTAAATTTGCATCTCCCTGTGCCAGCTGGGGTGAATCTAGCCCACAGTCTGCCAATATACATTTCATTGTTCTTGGACTTTTATTTCTAGTCTAACCACTTGCCATCTGAGGGAAACAATATAAATAATTAGGGTTACCTTTCTGTATCATAATATTCCAGACCTCTGAGCAAAAAGACTCTGCTCTATACTATCCATGGAATGGACTCACCTCCTTTAGAGAGTAATTGTCTATGCTAAGCCCACATGGAAGCAAGGGAGCTTTGTCCCACCGAGTCTTTCCAGAGACCATTTTCCTTTTATAAGGGTCAGCCCTGCACGGTGTTGAGCAGGGCTGGCTGGAAAACAATTCCATTTTGCAAAAATATTTGAAATTTGTTTTTGTTCTGATGTGGAACAAAACCAAGACCTTTCAAATTTTTTTGTGAAAAAATGAGTGCACCTGTAGCCAATAACCCAATGGTTAGGGTGATCATCTGGCATGTGGGAGACCGTGGTTCAAATCCCTACATTGCCTCATTTGTTTTGGTTCGAACACAAAGGCAATTTTCAACAGAAACATTTTTTTGCCAAAAAAATTTGGACCAGCTCTAGTGCTGATTGCCTTCAAATCCTATTGACTTCAAAGGGAGATAAGCCTGCACAGCACCTTAAAGGATGAGGCCCATTATTCCCCTCTGCCCCCTTTTGAGCAGTTGTATGTATAGTGAATCCTTAGCTAGGGAAACACAGTACATTTATTGGAAGGCTGCCATAAATAGCTTTCCTCATGTTGGCATAATATAGCACACTACACTTTCTGGTTCCAACTGGAAGATACAACCTCCACGCTAGGCTTCACCAGCATGGAGAGCTGCCATACCACCGCATGGGCCAGCTTCATTGTTTCCTGTTTTTTAGTTTGATAGTAGATTTTGATTGTATCGGCTCTGGCTGGTGATTATGCTTTGCTTTGTTAAAATAAGCAGCTTAACTCTTGAATCTTAATCAAGCCCTGTTCACTATTTTCTTATTGTGATCCCTGTTGATTTTTTTTCCTCCTCTGAAACCAACAAAGAGATAGTGTTTTGTTTCAGTTTGTGAAACTCATCATTTTTTCCAGACTTTCCATTTCACGCTGTTTGGATTTTATTAAGATCTCTTTACACAGGAGCTGAATGCCAGCTATATGATGCCCTAAGGGAACCAAAATGTTGTTGCTTTAATGTCTGAAATCTCTTGAGACATTTCATTTGTACCAGAAGCTCCCTGGAGACTTGTGGCTAAATACATAAAATATTTTCAATGTTTACAGAAAGATCTTAGTCTCCAGTAGAATTTAATACAAATATTTTTATTTTTACCTTCAAATTGGCCGATTGAATTAATGCCACGCTTGCTAGTAACCGTCTTAACGGCTACTGCTCCTTGTCTTAACAGATTGAATCTTGTTTGGTTAGTTGGTTTTTGTTTTGGAAGTGTGGTGATAAATACAGTATATTATAATGAGTTTGGACTTTCTAAAGAGTGTGACTCTTTATTTTCTTTTTTTCTTTTGAACTGCACATCTCTATTGACTGTTAGCAAATATTTGCACCAAAAATCTTTCCTCCACGCTTCCTCCCCCACACATCCCTTGAAACAATTTTTGGAGATTGATCTTGACTGTTCTTGTGCACCTTCCAGGAAAAACTGCTGAACTGATGTTCACCTGATGTTTTATGTAAAGATCAGTCTTGATGTCATCAAAGGGCCCAGCTGATCAGTTTAAGCTTCTTCATAAATATTTAATACAATAATCCAGTACAGAAATAAGATTAATGACTGCAGCAGATGTTACTAATATTAAAGCTGGTCAGAAATTTTCAAAATTTCAAGGAATTTTGTGTCAAATTTTTGACAAAAAAGGATAAAAAGTATATGAAAGTTACATTAATGTTAGTCATAAAAAACAGTGTAACTTTCATATACTTTTTATCCTTTTTTGTCAAATTTTGACACCAAAGCCCTTGAAATTTTGAAATTTTTTTACCAGCTTTAATGCATATGCCTAATCTGGGAGGGGGATTTATTCATGGATGTTTATTAAAGCAGGGTCAATAAGCTCATTATGGAGAATTATAATTTTTATTATTAATGTAAAAGCAACTTTTAAGATTTTTATAAGAAAAATCAATACAACTGTAGGAACTTTTAAAAGGCCAAGATTTTGAAAGTGACTAGTTATTTGGGGTGCCTTGATTTTCATTGCTAGACGTGAAGCAGTTGAAAAGATTCAGAAGGTGGGTGCTATGCCCTTTATGAAAAATTAGGCCCCTTAAAGGTATCTCAAGTGGGTCATCAAAAAACAGAGACGCGCAAAATCACTAGTCACTTTTTAAAATCTTCGTCTTATAAATATAACAGAAATTATTGAGCAGTTGAAAAAATTTGTTTACTAATTGCCCAGAAAATCAAATATTTTCCTATCTCAAATGATACCAAAACTCTTGATTGTTAATACTGAACCAAATTAACAAACCGATTTCAACTCAGCATCTAAAATTGCACACACAATTATGTATGTGCTGATTTTTGCATGCTCACACCACCTAGTGGGCTGAGTACTCAAATTATCTGAGCAAATTCCATTTGCATGCATAAATGTAGATTTTATGGGGGCACATGCAATAATGCAGGGGCAAAGTTGCAGGTCGTTTGGAAACTGGGGCCCTAAATGTCTCCTTCACATAGTTCTTCCTCTTGAACAAATATTCATTTTAACCGCCTGTCCTTGAATGTTTATTAACATTTAAAAATCTTTCCAGCTCAGTTATTAATCTTATCTACCTCTCTTCTTCCTCCATGTATTGTCATGGGAGTCCTGAGAGAAACACAGCACAGCACTTACCTTCACAAAGGAAGAAAATATTATTTTATTTATATTGTGATTTGCGTTATTTTAATCTAATTGTATAATACAAATAATATTCACCATACAGAATGTATTCATACTGAATGGCTTCTGTAATCATCAGACTAGTTGTAGAAGCTGCCTAGTGCAAATGTATTCCAACAATATGAATATTATCTCTTAATCCCTTTAATGCTCGCTCTCAATACAGCCTCTTTCCAGTGATAGACCACAATGGCATTTTTGAAGTGCCAATGTGCTGTTAAAATATCAGCACAATGGAGGCACGATGTACCTTGTATATTTGGCAGTAATGAAGTGGTTAAGGGAACTAAATTTAATTGCCTAGTCACCAGTACAGACATCTGAAACAATGCCATAAATAGTTGACTACATTACTAAAGGTTTCTTATTTTATTATAAAGACTCCTCTCATTCGGTTCAGATTATTTTGACTGGATGCCTAAAATTGAATCTGAAGAAGTGAGGTTTTTCACCCACAAAAGCTTATGCCCAAATAAATCTGTTAGTGTTTAAGGTGCCACCGGACTCCTTGTTGTTTATGTGGATAGAGACTAACACAGCTACCCCCTAAAAATTGAATCTAAAGGTTACATTCACGAAGTTCTGCACACACGTCTCTCAGAATACATTTCTTCGCTGGTAGAAGTAATCATGCAGAGGTTCAAAATGCCACAAATTTAGCTATGAAAATTGAGAAGTCATTTCCAACAGCAGGGTGAGCACATGAATTATAGAGGTCAGCGCATTAATTTTTAACTGTTATAAAACAAGTACTCACTTTTTTTTTCATTCCTCCCACTCCCTAAATCTTATCCCAGGATGTGTGACACAGGAGAAGGACTGTTCACCTTTCAGACGAGGGAAGGAGAGATGATCTATCAGAAAGTCCATTCTGCAACACTGGCGATAGCTGAGCAACATGAAAGACTAATGATGGAGATGGAGCAAAAGGCACGGGTAAGATCTTACCTCCACTATTTTAAAAACTTCCATTGGTGAAGTGAAGGGTTATGATGATTGCAGAGTACAGCTCCATCTAGTTATGCCAAAATGGTGGGTTTTTTTAAACCAACCGCTCCCAACAACTTTGATTTTTTTTTAAAGATGATAAAGAAATAGTCCATCAAGCTGGATGAAGCAAATTCAATGAGTGCATGAAAAAAGATACGGAAGGTAATTTTCAACTACATCCTGGAATTTTGGGATGACGGTTACATAGTCCTACCTGCTTCTTTGTATGTGTGACAAAGCATGCAGCAGCACACTGCACATATTGGAATATGGAGAGCAGAGCTCTGGGGAAGCCATAGAGAAGGAAATTGCAACACTCACAGTGAGAAGTGATGGCTAAGGATTTAAGGCAGGAATCTGAATAAAAAATATTGTAGAACTGGAGACAGGAAGATTTACTGGCATAGGAAAGGTGGGAAGAAGAGAGTTCAAAATCAAGATTAAAATGAAGTTGGAGACAAGCAGAAGGTCCAAACTGAAAAGGGCAATAGAGCGAATGGAACTGTCTTTATTGATGTTCCAGTTGCCCAAAACACTTACTGCTCTACAGAATATCTTAGTTCTGTTGGTTATAGTATTGCCACCTTTTTAATTGTGATAATCGGACCCCTCAGGACCCCTGTTCTGCCTCTTTCCCCCCTCCCTCCATTGCTTGCTGGATCATCTCCACCTCCCTCCCCCTACCCAGCTGGACTCCCTCTGCTCTGGAACTGGGATGGGAGCTGCGGCAGCCAGACAAGAGGCCTGCCTGCAGATAGGAGATGGCCCCAGTTGTGCAGGGGCTAGTGTGGGTTAATCCCCTGGCACCTCCCCTCCACCCTACTTTAACGAGGTTTTTGATGTCTGGTCAGTACATCTGATCAGACACTGCCGGGTTCCCATTTAGATTGGACTTTCTGGGTGAAAACCAGGCACTTGGCAACCCTAAATGCAGCAGTCCCCAAACTTTTGAGGGCCACGCTACCCCCTTACCCCTGTCCCTGCCACTCCCCGCCCCACCCCCAGAGCCAGGCAGGGCTGGGCAGGGGCACACACACAGGGGTAAGGAGGCAGGGTCTATGGACTGATCTGCGGTTGGGGTGGAGCCACAACCAGACCACAATAGGGGTCGTCATCCAGGCCCACAGCCTGGTGCGGCTCCACTCTCGGCCCCACCCTGCCCACAGCCTCAGTTCTGGGCCAGAGCAGAGCCACAGCCGGACTGTGGTGGTGGCTGGCAGCCGGGCCCCCATCCAGGTGTGGAGCCATGCTGAGGCTGGGGATGAGGCCAGTCACAGGCCGGGAGCCGGTGCCATGGCTGGGGTGGGAGCAGAGCTGGGGTAGGGGTGGTGCTACCACCCTGCCCCCCATGGGTGCTGGCCTAGACCCTCTGTGCCCCCTCAACAATCCCACCACATCCCTCTGCCCCACAATTTGGGTACCTCTACCTAAATGGCATCCGGACACAGAAGTCAAAAACCAGACTGTCTGAGTAAAACCCGGATGGGTGGCAACCCTAATTGGATACATAATAAAGCAGCTTTTTTACAAAAGTGATTGAGTATTAGAGATGGTGTCATAGGACTCTCTACTCACCGCTGGGTGGCACCCTCTTCGGGCAGTCCTGGAGATTAGCTCTGCCCAGTTCAGCACCCCCTTTCTTCTTTCTACCATCTGCAGCTTTCTTCCTGCTCATAGAGTCACAGCATGGCTGCATCATGACTCAGGCCTCAGACGAGATCACACTGTGATTCCCCTTTGGGAATGCTCAAACAGCATCAGGCAGTCCTCACGCCTGCCTCCCTGACCCTGTGACTCCTGCAGTGACTCAGGCAGTCTTCTAGTTCACTGCTCCAAGCAGTACCACTCTGCAGTAGTTGGTAGCGACACCCAGGCTCACCCTCTACTCTGTGTTCCAGTTCAAGGCCCTGTAGTAAGTGGTTAAGGTCTGTGGCTACACCAATGGTCCCCAGACTGTGGTGTGCAGCCTCCTCTGGGGGGCGTGGAATCAAGGAGTCATAACTGGCTGCTTGATGGCCACCCACCAATGCAAAATGGAGCTTGGATGCAGGAGGAATTGAACCCTGTACGTCTACTGTTTTCAGGGAGTTTCAATCAGAATACAGAAAATGACTACAGTTTGCTTTATTTACTTATTTATTAATGACAGGTTTCAGAGTAGCAGCCGTGTTAGTCTGTACCCGCAAAAAGAACAGGAGTACTTGTGGCACCTTAGAGACTAACAAATTTATTAGAGCATAAGCTTTCGTGGGCTACAACCCACGATGCATCCGAAAAAGTGGGTTGTAGCCCACGAAAGCTTATGCTCTAATAAATAA